TGATAGGAGGGTCCTGTTGCTGCAGGTTACAAATACCAGGTCAAATTTTGCATAAGAGAGGGAAAGGCTATCAGAGGTGCTTATTTTCATAGGGAAATTCTAATCTCAAGTCTTGTATTGATGATCAATCATTGATACATACCAGAAAGGTGATTTTGTTTTTTTGGAGGTTTGTGTTGGGGCTGTAGTTGCTGTCATTATATCCAAAAGCCACCAAAGAACGTTTGTAATTTCATCAATCCCAAAATATGCTTAATAGAGACACTAAATTTAAATCTATGATGCAGTTAAGTTACTTTACACAGGCCTAAGTTACTGTACACAGGACTTGATCTCCTGTATTCTCAATCAATGTGTATAACTTGCTGATTTTCTGCACATTTTAAAAGCAACTTTCAGTAACTGAAAACTAAAATCAAACTTGCCAGATTAAAGTTATTAGATATGTAGTTTTTAGGATCATAGTCAGATTAGCCCTAATAATTTGGGAAACTAACATACTCAAAGTCAAGTAAGTGAAAATATTCTTTCCTTATAAAATACTCACGTGTCTTCCAATCTACAGTGAACAGCAAGACCTTTGAGATGGACATGCTGTCTTGAATAAGGAGCTGATTTTATGTAATTATTTTATTTTATGTAATCTGTGTCATTACATAAACCAGTATCTGAAAACATTATCCAATTGCACAGGAATGTATATACATGATCCACTGCTGAAGTTGAAAAGGACGAGCACTGATAAAAGTAATCCTGGATCAAAATTGACAGAGTATAAAAATTCTGGATTATTTCCACAAAATAACATGTAAAGCTGTTTTGCAAAGCCTTTTAAGAATCTGGTGTGAAATAGAGTAGCCAGTGCATTTTTTGCCTAATATCATTTGACATGCTACCTGCTGTGAGGCTGCTGCTCCTGTGTTTCTAGTAACAAGTTTAGACACTTCTTGCTCTTTTACTGGCCAGTTGAAAAAGAAGAAATCAAACTGTCAGGTGCCAGAGTCTGGGGCTTATTTTCCTTCACCATGGGGTGATCTGACCCCTTGCATGATCCATACTTCCTGGATCTGTTTCCTAGGCTGCTGTTACTATTTTGGTTAGCTAAAATTTGAGCTTCTTAATCTTTGGTTTGTTTGGATCAGATTGTATTTGTGTCATGTGTGATCTTCTCTATGCCTGTAAATCCAATTGGCCTGTAAAATGTCTGTAGATCCAATAAAAGCATTGCTCATTGACAGGGAAAATATGCTGAGATTATATCAACTCTCCTTAGTCATGGTCTGTAGCTCACAGGTAACTTGCAAAATGTTTCTCAAATAGTGAAGTGACTTACAGTCAGAATGGAAGCACTGTAGCACCTTGTTAGCAGCAAGGAAACGGCAGCTTCAAAGATTTTGTACCTCAAGTAAAGTAATACAGCCTGTTTATATTATAAAACTTGTATTTTCTGTTTCTGGGGCAGCTGAGCACTTTACAGAATCTACATAGTAAGTGAAACAAGCTGTAAGCCTGCAAGTTGATGTTGGCCAAAACATGTCTCTGCTTGGATGAGTCTTTGTTAAGGAGGACAGCATCAGATGTTCACCTGTATTTAGAGGGTACCTTTAAATGAGTTGAACCTTAGTGATGTGTCCAAATGCTGGGTGTCTAAGTGAGAGCTGATCTCCTCCTGGAGTGATGATACATGTTTAAGAATGTAAAGTCTGCACTCTTCACTTAGGTTAGTGAGATATGGAGGTGCAGTTTTCCCATTTTCTTGCTGTGGTGTTCTTGCTGTCAAAACTAGATTGGTCTTAGCTTTGGTAATACACTACCAGTCAACATATTAGTCTTCTCAGCACCAGCAATCATGCTGTTCTCATCAGCAGGTTTAGTGCTAGTTTGAGCTGTTTAAGATACAATAAAATTTTTATTTCAGCATTAGGAATCTTTCCTTTATTAGGGACCAAACTGGACTTTAAATATGGCCATCAGACTGTATAAAAGTACACCTGAGCAGCATTCGTTCATTACTAGCTCTCTGCCAGGCCTCCATTGTCAGCTCTGGAGCTCTCCATTTCTCTTTACCTGCCTTTGCCACGGCCAGCACTGTGTTTCAGTGCACATCACAGCCACCTCCTGTGTAGTACACAGCGCTCATTCTATGAATTGCTCCACAGCAGTACTCTGCACCATGCTGTGCTTTCCTCTCCTGCCTGTTACTTGCCTTACCATGAATGCTTTGTCAAAGGCAGGCATCTCTCTGGTCTTGCTTGGCACAGAGCTTTCCCCACGTCTGCCTGCTGCTCAGTGTCTTTCCCACACCTATAGAAGTAAAACAGCTCACGGTGGGAGCAATGCAGTGTAGTGAGTGGTGCATTTGGTGGCTTTGGGTGCAGATAAGACTGTGGGAAGCTGCAGGTGTGAGAGAGTGCCTACGAAGGACAGAAGTAGTAAGAAAGAGGCAGAGAACTGGCAGGATCATGCGAGTTGGAAGAAGGGAAATAAGTATAGGGGATAGAGGCTGAAGGTGGTAGCAGGGTGAAGAAGGAGATACGTATGACCATTTGCAGTTACTTCAAGGACTTGATCTGGTCACTATTTGCTGCTTTTTTCCTTTTTTGTCTGAGGCTGAGGTAGGAATTGGAAATACACTTTCAAATGTGGTTGTTTTAATTTTAATTTTAATTTTCACTGATGGCTTGTCAGAGAATGGCATTGCCTCTGCTGGAAGGGAAAGCCATCTGGGAGCAGCATGTGTGGGAAGAATTGTAGTTGCATGCCACAGTCACTGCCGTGGCTCTACCATTACACTCATATTAGCAGTTCTTACATGTGAAAAGATGTCTTTCTTTCTCATATTTGTAATTTATAATTGCTTACTGAATTAGATTCACAGCAGAGCTGAATGTGTTCACATTTGGTGGGTCTTTAATTTGTAAGGCACAAATATTTTTTAGACTGAATTGCCATACCTTGTAGGTTCATCAACTTGATGATCCATTTTACATTGTGATTGTAACAGAAAGTGTCAGTTGACATGATCATCAGACTGTTTCACTTTTTTTTCTTTTCCCTTCTCTGGGAACTGCTACAGGCACAGCTGATTGCACAGTCCATAGGTCAAGCATTTAGTGTGGCCTACCAAGAATTTCTGAGGGCAAATGGAATCAACCCAGAAGACCTTAGCCAGAAGGAATATAGTGACTTGCTTAATACCCAGGACATGTACAATGATGATCTGATTCACTTCTCCAAATCTGAAAATTGCAAAGATGTATGTATCCTTTTTTTTTTTCCCCACAAGTATTCAGCTGCTCTTTACCAGTTGCAGGCCTGTGTTGGCAGAAATTAAAAAACTATTAATACTTCCTCTGAATTATCTCAGTTGGTCTAGAATATCCTCCCTAATAGGACACCTTTCATCAGTTCTGTTTCAAAGGCAAACAGTGAACCCCAAATTTATCAGCAGTCAACTCACTTACCATCTGTTTCTGCTCTTTTTACCAAATAATTCTCATATTTGTAAGCTTACTAAAAGTAGATTAACAGATTAATACAGTTTAAAAATATACAGTAAGCAACATAAAATTTATAGAAGCACCAATGTTTATGAACATGACTGATTCCAGGTTTTAAGTAATTGTATGTTACAGAAGGCTTTGCAGCTTGCTTAATGCAAAGTTGTAAACTCTTGGAATCTCTTCGTATTTAGCTTTGTACGCCAAAGCCCATGGCACCAAGGTTTCTTTCACTGCAATTTCTTCTGCTCATATACAGAAATGACTTCTGAGAGGTGTTTTGCACTAAGTCTGTATTGTGTATCATTTAATGTTTGAATACAAATGAAAGGTAGCAAAACATGTACCCTATCTTGTTTTGCCTTTGAATTACGAAGACAGGTTGCAAATGAAGGGTATATTTGTTGGTTTTGTGAATGTTTGGAGGGGGATAATATTAGTTCCATGGGTGCAAAATAAACTTTTTTTAAACACTTTTTCTTACTATATAGGTTTACATTGAAAAGCAAAAGGGAGAAATCCTAGGTGTGGTGATTGTGGAGTCTGGCTGGGGATCCATTTTGCCTACAGTTATCATAGCCAACATGATGCATGGAGGACCGGCAGAGAAGTCTGGGAAGCTGAACATAGGGGACCAGATCATGTCAATCAATGGGACCAGCTTGGTTGGTTTACCACTCTCAACGTGTCAGAGCATTATAAAGGTAGGGAAAATGTTTCTGAAAGCTACATATTTTAAAATGATGACATAATTGAAGAGCAGAAGGTATAAAACCCTGAAGAAAATTATTTACAAATGTTTGTGTAGCACTTTCCATTTCATGATCTTTAAAAACAGTGTGAATTATGCTACACCAATTTTCTGGCTCCACACAGGACCACAGAATGAGTAAGGTTGGGACCACTGAAAGAGTATAATCCAACCTCCCTGCTTCAGCAGGGTTGCCTAGAGCACCTTACTCAAGATTGTGTATCCATGACTTTTGAATATCTCCAGAGAAGGGGATTTCAAAACTTCTCTAAAAATCTGTTCCTATGTTCAGTCTCGCTCCCAGGAAAGAAATTCTTCCTCATGTTCAGGTGGAATTTCCTGCATTCTGGTGTTGGCCCTTTGCCTTTCATCCTATTGCTCAGCACTACTAAAAAGAGCCTAACTGTATCCTCTTGACATCCTCCCTTCAGATACTTAGACACATTGATGAGGTCCCCTCTCAGTTGTCTTTTCTTGATGCTGAAGAGGGCCAGCTCCGTCAGCTTTCACAGAACTGTGGCATTTTATGGGTTGGAAAAGACCTCTAAGGTCATTGACTCCAACTGTCAACCTTTTCTTCCTAAGTGAAGTGCTCCTAATGATCCCCTAATGATAGCCCTTGACAAGACCTGCCTCCTCCAGGAGCTCCATGTCCCTGCGGTGCTGAGGAGCCCAGAGCTGGACACAGCACTCCAGATGTGCCTCAGCAGGGCTCAGCAGAGGGGCAGGATCAGCTCCCTTGACTGCTGGCAGTGCTCTTCCTGATGCACCCCAGGATAACATTGGCTACAGGAGCACTGCTGGCTTGTGGACAGCTTGTGCTGGGACCTGGGGTTATTCCTTCCCAGGTGCTGGATCCTGCATTTGCCCTTGTTGAATTTCAAAAGGTTCCTTTCTGCACACCCCTCCTGCTTGTCAAGGTCCTTCTGAAGGGTTGCACAGCACTTGGATATCAGCCACTCCTCCCAGCTTTTGTGTCATCAGTGAACTTACTCAGGAGGTACTCCATCTCTGATACAAAGAGGGGTACAGAGATTAGGTGCAGTGTTGAACCTTGGGGGACACTGCTTGATACACGCATACAAATAGATCTGTGCCACAGATCCCAGTCCTCTGAGCTCTGCCATTCAGCTGGTTCTCAATCCACCTCACCACCTGGTTCCTGAGCTTAGCTATGAGGTTGTCTTGAAAGACATCCTCAAAAGGCTTAAAGAAGTTCAGAGTGACAACATCCACTGCACAACTTCACAAGGGAGTATTTTGTGCAGAAGGAAGATATTACCAGATACACACTTGAAATTTTATATCACAAAGGGAGGTACAAGTGCCTAGTATTGTCATTAGCCTTACCAGCTGTCAGATACCTCTCAATATTTGCATGAAATAGAGTTAATGCTTTTTTTGTTATTGTTTGTTTATACCTGTTTTTAAAGCTTTAAAACTTTGGCTTAAAAACATACCCTCAGTGGCGTCTTTGCCCAAGTTATTTGAAAGTGCTTCTCTTATTTGATGCTTCTCTTCATATGCATGAATGGGATATTTTAATTGGAGGAGCTTCTAGTTGTCAGCAAAGTTTGTGAAAGTGAAAAGCTTGCAGGTCATCTGGAACTGAACAGTGTCTGGGGCAGCTGTAGCATATAAAGGAATAAATATTTGAACATCAGAGTTGAAAGAATGGGAAAGATACATAGCTAGACAGCGTTTGAGACAAAGCTCATTAGTTATTTATTAGTTATTTATTGAAATCGTCCTGCCTAGCTCTGCAGGTCATGACACGCAGACACATAATGTAATGCTGGTAGTACATTATACAGACATTCTTCTGTGATTTTTAGAAATGTATCTGTTAGACTTAGTCAGTTGGGCAACTTTTTGGTAACGTTGTATTATGTAACGTTTTTCTTTCACTTTGTATTTTTTTAATTCAAAATAAATTTTCTGTTTACAAGGTAAAAAAAAGTAAAAAAAGTACTACGTTAATTTTTTTTTCTTTATGGATTATTTCTTAATACTTGAACTAAGATGTGTGTTATAAAGACTTCCCGTTCAGGCTTCCCTAAATGTTAATATTGATAAATTATAGGTGCATAAGTCACCAAACCAGTCATTTTAGATTCAGTGGGTAGAAATGATAGCCTGTGTGACATACTGAAAATATCGCAAAAATAGTCTTACATCTGTAAAGAAAGGAAGAAAAAATAATCATATTAAAGATCTTTGTGCCAGCATTGTCAAAACAAAACTCCCTGCAAATTTAGGCTCTTTTTGTTTGTGATTGTTTCCTATCCCACATAATTTTTATTTCTGAAACTGCAATAAGTTATACTTCCCTTATTCAGATGGAGTTTTTGTTTTGCTCATCAGTACTTTCTCAATACAGAAGCAATCAGCTTTGCTGTTTCCAGCTGCTGCAGGCCTTTCTCTTCTTCACTGGTACTTACTGCCAGCCTTTTTTTTTTTTTCTTTTTAAAGAGAAGATAATCTGTATGTTTGCAGGTCTTCATAACCACATAACTGGAGTTATTCTTATAGCACTTTTGGAAACAAATGTATATGAATGATCTATGCGCAGATCATTAAATGTGGTAGAAATCTCCCAGATTTCAGATTTCCTTAGCATGCTGGAAGTATGCCTATGAAAATATTATATTATGTGGATAAACATATGTCACAAGCACTTCAAACAAGATAATTCAGTATTATGGATGTAATCTCTGCTCCTAATTTACCATAAACCAATTGCAAACTGACAGAGCTTGGAAGATGCTTTCCATGTGTTGTGGCTATTCCCTAATAGGATTATGCTACTTCTGTCTTTTTCAGAAGCATCTGGTGTTTGCTACTATCGGAACTATACTCAGGAACTAGAAAAACAAAAAAAGGGGGTCAAAATATGCATTTTTTTGTTTCTGATCAGTTTATGTTACCAGTCTGTGTACTACTAAAGATTAGCCACTTATGAAATATATGCACTTTCTTTAAAATTAAAATAATTTTTGTTAGGGACCACATTATTTTTTTCCCCCCAAGGAATACATGGAAGTAATTTGCACATTCATCAGGGAAGTAAGAGCATGATGATGTCAAGTCTGTTCTGGGCATATATCCTGAGTGAATTCAGGTGACTGAAGTTAGACACTTAAATTCCTCATAGAAATGGGCGTCCCCAGTACTCTGCATGGCTCCTACCTTCTGGGATTAGAACACTGAGCCAAAAGCTCCTTAGACTTTTCCATAAACATCATGCCCACAGCGTAGTTCATGTTGAGAAGTCCCTGTCCTCTACAGTGTGTGGTGTTGTCAAGACCTGCCTATAGAAAGTGAATGTTCCTTGAGGTGAGGTGCATTGTTAATTCCTCACCAGAGTAGAGGAGTTCATAGTCATGGAGGAGGTGGAGTTCAGAACTTCTTTCTCCTGAGTGTGGAGTACAAGCAGTTCTCAGAGCCGTGAGCTTTCTCATTTTGTGTTCAGACACCTGTTCAATTGTCTTGCAGCCACTATCAAACATGAGCCAAGCTGAGCTCAGCACTCTGGACACAATCCTGTGCCATGTGCTCTAGGATGATCCAGCTTGAGCAGGAGGTTGGACCAGATGACCCTCTGTGGTCCTTTCCAACCTTACCCATCTTGTGATTCTGTGAGTAATGGAAATTATGAGTACTGCTTATGCAAGGATGATACAAGGAGGACCTGCTGTTTGCTTGACAGAATTTAGTATATTTCACTAGGGATGCAACCATTTTGTAACTAACTTAGCTACTTATGTAAAAGTAACTGACGTTTTTTTGTGAGCTGCATAGACCTGCTTAATATTCCTTTTATGCATTATTTCTGTTGCCAAATGAAGAAATTGCCAACAGGAATCTAGTTTTCCTAAAACAACTGTGCCAGATTTTTGGCAAGAAAAATTTGATGTTATATCACTCCTCTCACTGAATACTCTGATGCTTTTGTCTGGCATTCAGTGATCAGACTCTGGTACAATGCATACAAAGATCTATTTATTCAAGGCTGCTCCCATGTCATTGTTCTAACACCTTTTCTTCTTCTGCTGGTGTTACATGTTTAACTCTCAATTTGGTATTTTTTTCAGGGTTTGAAAAACCAGGCCCGGGTTAAACTGAACATAGTTAGATGTCCTCCAGTAACCACAGTCTTGATCAGAAGACCGGACCTCAGATATCAGTTGGGCTTCAGTGTTCAGAATGGGATTGTAAGTAGCTTCCACAGTTTCTGATCAAGCTTTATCTTACATGAAACGTCCTCTCCATTTGTGGGTAAGTTTCAATGTGAGAAGAGGGAAGCTGCTATTTTCTCCTGTTCTGCAAGCAGGATTTTGCATTTGTTAAGTGTCTGAGATACAATAGTTGTGTTAATAAGAATTACTTTTTGTCTCTACTTACTTCACAACTTTAAAGTCAGCCAGAGGAATAAAAAAGTGCTTTCAGCATACATCATACATGTCCTTAACCAAGCCATTACATGATCTCAGAAGAAAAAGCCTGTTCTTGATCCTTTTTGTTGTAAGGCATCTGCTTAATGAACATACTTAAATTAAGGTCCTTCTTACACTCATAAATTTCCAAACCACAAGACATGTAATGTTTAACAGAAACAGCCTCTTCTGACAGTTTGTTCTCCTCTTGGAAGAGAATATCCATTACCTACTTGAGTCAGCAGTTGATTGCATCTTAGAATTTGTTGTTGCAAGTGTGTGTTTAAATGTTGATTCATATCTTGCAGGCAAAAATGGGTAATCAAAAGTCTCTGTTCCTTATCCAGCCCATGATAAATTTGTCCTGTCTCTTCCAGATCTGTAGCCTTATGAGAGGAGGCATAGCAGAGCGAGGAGGTGTGCGTGTTGGCCATCGGATCATTGAAATCAATGGGCAGAGCGTTGTAGCAACACCCCATGAGAAAATTGTTCACATCCTCTCAAATGCTGTTGGTGAGGTAAGAACCAGCAATGTTTCTAGGCAGTATAGCACAGTTCACTGCTGTTACCAGTAACAACCAGTGGAAACCAGTAACGAGCAGTGTCTCTCAAGGAACTGTACTGGGACCAGCACTCTGTCTGTCATGTCTCCACTGGTGACATAGTGGGATTGAGTTACACTCTCAGCAAGTTTGAAGGTGACATCAAGATCAGTGGTGCTAAAGGAAAGGGACCTGAACAGGCTAGAAAAGTGGCCCATGTAACCATTGTGAAGTTGACCAAGTGCGAGGTCCTGCATCTGGGTCTGGACAATCTCCAACATCGAGACTAGGGCTGAAGGGATTGAGAATAACCCTGAAGAGAGGAACTTGGTGGAAGGAAAGTTGGACATGAGCCTGGAATGGGCACTTGCAGTCCTAAAAGCCAACTATATCCTGTGCTGCATCAAAAATAGTGTGGCCAACAGGGAGGTGATTTTCCCTCTGTATTCTGTTTTTGTGAGACCCTGCTGGAGTACTGTGTGCAGTTCTGGGGCCCTCAGCATAAACAAGGCATGAACCTGCTCGAGCAGATACAGATGAAGGCCATGAAAAGGGTCAAACAAACCTCTCTTGTGAGAAAAAGCTGAAAGAGGTTTGGTTGTTCAGCCTGAAGAAGAGAAGGCTCCTGGAGGAGCCTGAAGGAGACCTGGCAGCAGCCTTTTAATGTATAAAGGGGGCTTCTAAGAAAAATGGAGAGAGAGATTTAAATCAGGCATAGGAAGAAATCCTTCACTATAAACGTTGGTGAGCCACTGGAACAGGTTGCTCAGAGAAACTGTGGATGCCTCATCTCTGGAAGTGTTCAAGGCCAGGCTGGATGGGGCTCGAAGCAACCTGTTCCAGTGACAAATGTTGATACCTGCAACAGGGCAGTTTGAATTAGATGATCTTGAAAGGTCCCTTCCAATTCAAACTGTTCCATAATTCTGTGGTTCTATCTCTATTGGCCTGTTGCTAATCAAATCCAAAAAGCTAAAGTGAGACCAAGCCTGCACAGCATTTCTTTCATTTTTTGCTCCCTAGTTCTATGCTTTAGAAGAACTGTACCTTGAAAATATGAAGTGTCTTCAATTTTAGACAGTTCATCAATACTTAACATATCGTTTCATGATATCATCACCTGCAATACTTTAATAAGCATATGAAAACTGTTAAGTTTTACCTTTTTTCTGCCTTTTATGACCTTATATTGGTCCTTCACTTGAGGTGTGGATGTTAAGGAACATAATTAACTTGGCTTATTTCCTCTAGATCCATATGAAGACTATGCCAGCTGCCATGTACAGACTGTTGACTGCACAAGAGCAACCAGTTTACATTTGAAGCTGACACCTCACCTCCACAGTGTGCATGGAAGGTGTTTTTCCTCATTAGTGCTTGTCTCTCTAGTGCTGCATTTGTGTGTCTGCAAAGACATTTCTTTTTCTCTCCCCAGTTTTTAGACACAAATACACTGTTTCTCTCTCCTTCATCCCTTTTTCCTCTTCTTCCCACCACTTCCCTGCATTTTGGTAAGGGGCAAAATGTATTTCTGGAACTATTTTGGTTGCATCTTTTTACAAGTGAAACTTCATACAGCTCCACATGCAAAACGGGGAAATAACAGCAGCATAGGTTACAGCAGTATTCACAGATGGCTCTATTTCATGCTACATTATCAGTTTTATTTCTGTGGCTATAATTTTATAAACCAAGTAAATTAAATGTTGCTGAATGAAAGATGACTTTACCAAACAGAGAAGTATAGAGTACAAAGTGTTCTCTTGGATATCTTGCCTATGACTTTGCTTTTCTTGCCCTGTTTTCCCACAGGCACCAAGCTCAGTACTAAAGGTTTGTGTCTGTGGGGAAAGTAGAATACCAAAAGGATTGTTTTGCCCTCAGGAAAAATTGCCTGCTTCTGAAGACTCAGTAAATGCTGCTGTTGTAAAATGAATTGTCCAAATACACAATTCCCCTCTGTCATCAATTCTTCATCATAGTAGGACTCCAAAATATACTCCATAAGTTCCTGAAACATGCTATTCTTGCATTACTTGCACTTAGAAATTTGGGAGGCATTACTAACAGCTGCCTCCCCCTCTCTGCCCCCAGATTTCTATCTCCTGGTTTTCTTCTGCTTTGTCTTTTATAGTCCCTTCTTGATTTTAGAGGTTAAAGAAGTGGGGGGAGAATCTTTAAATATCCACAAGAAAAATAGTGAGGGGATCTGCTGAATAGCTACACTTTTTCTAGGCTCTTAATTACAATTTTGGTGCACATAGCCATGTGTGCCAGTGTATATAGACATTTTTAAAATTGTGCTTCCTATTTATGAAGTTTGAATATAAGAGATCTGCAGACTATTCTAAGTAATTTTGTTCTCTGAGCCAGTTTCAACATATATTTTTGTCCAAAGACCTGTCTAATTTTATTGACTTCCTGTTTAGTTCATGATATAGATAACAGTGGAAAGGATGAGGCAGGAATAAACTTATTTATTTTGTTATATAATTTAGCTTGTGATTTTTTTCCCCACATGTATGGCACTTACAAGAGATATGTGTGTACTATATGCACTTGTATGAAGATGATTAACTGTAGGGATATATGAAATCTTGTATTTGATTAGCCTCTAAGTTGCATGCTAGAGACAAAAGGGGAAAAGGGGGCTGGGTTGGGTTCTTTGTTTTTTTTTTAAGAGGGTTCAAAATAAAAAAGAAACAGTGTCTTTTCTTCCTAGTGAGAGAATTCTACATTCTCTATAGTTACTTTTTTCAGGACTGTATACTGGTGTTTATACTGAGGTTGAACCATGCGTTTAATCCAGGCTAGAATGTTGATTTCTTTTAAAGAAACAGTTTGTGCTGTGTTTTGCTGTGATGGAAAGGCTCAGTGAGATGAAAAGAAGAGCAGACGACACACAGCCACATGCCACTTCTGCTTTGCAAATGCGGTGTTGTTCATAGTCACTTGTTTGTCACTTGTTGTGACGTGAGCTGTGCAATGTAAGCGTTGCTTGCAGTCCAGTGGTGATCCTAGACATTGCTATGGGGATTCATGGAAGTGGATGTGTGCATGTGTGCTTGCTGCCAACACTGCTGAGAACCACTGAGCATTCTTGTCAGGGGTCCGTTTTTTTGCTTTCTAAAACCATGGATAACCTCAATCTGATCAGAGTTAGAGGATAAACTGTATTTCTGTGGTAAGCAGATATTTAAGGGACATATTGAAGTGATGCATAAACTGTTGTAGTAAGGGGATATGTTTTAGTGTTGAAATTAATGTATGATGAATTGATTTTACTGCATTTCTTGTTGTTATATAATTTAATCCAAGGCTCCAGAATAGCAGATTGCACAAGAGAATGGTGTTAGTATTCCAGGTTAGTACTTAACTCTGCTGCCTCACAGATGCAACAAGATAATTAATTGCTTGTGAGTATATTGTTTAACTGTAGGCATCTGGTTTATGGCAATTTGAACCTTTTTTCCTAGAACTTTCCATATATATAGTAATAAATGTAAATATGGTATATAACCATGTACAATTTAGAAGATTATATACAGTGCAGCCTTTCCATACATTGCCTGAGGAAACTTAGTGAACTCTTGAAGACACAGTCATCATGCTCCTGGTACCTGCTATATGTATGCCCTCCACTTCACTTGTTTCTGTAATTCTGTCTAGCTGATGTGGTGAAGTCCTTAGCGCACTTCACTGGGAAATGATGAAGATCTGAACATGCAAATATATTTAGAGAAGAAACAACTGTTTTCTTTGGAAAACTTGCAGCCAGCAGTTTGTGAAGTTACTGTTCATCCTAAATAGGTGCTTAACATTAAGCAAATGAATGCTTGCAGGACCAGAGCTTAGCAAAAAAATCTCATTTTTTTAGTTATAGTATGTGCATAAAATTTCTAAACTGAGAGGTCCATAGAGTGTGCACACTTCTGAGAACAGTCTTGTAAGCAATCCCATTTTACTCTGTAAACGGAAAGAGTTTCAAGAAAATGGAACTCAAAAGGGAAAGCTGGCTGTTCTCTAGACTGTTGCAGCAGTTTGATAGATCAGATATGGGGATTTTTAACAGATGCAAAGGAACATTCCTTCAAAGGTTTACATTCCTTCTTCAGTGACAGACCTGAATTATTTTTCTTTCATCCTTGCTGCTTCATACAGTCTAAGTAACTCTTCAGTGTTTACATTAAGGATGAAACATCCCTTGTATTTTTTATTTTTTAGAAGTTTCATGTTTGTTTTGAATCTTGTTTGAGTCTCAGTTTGGATTTCCAAGTTTGCTAGTTCTCCTTCTTTTCTAAAAGAAATTTATTTCTCAAGACAGCAACATGGTTGAGATCTCTTGTATATATTTAGCACAGTACCTAGACTATGAAGTTGTACTTCTGTTCTGTAAAGAGGATGAATAGAAATTATTGTAAAGCGTTGGGAAAAGCATAGTATTGTATTTGTAACAATATTGTTCTTTGTAAACATTTAATTATCTCTATATAAAAATATAAATATATATATAAATATATGTGAGCCTGGAATGTTGATATTGCACATCTACTGAATGTAATTACTCTGATGTTTTTCTGCCACAGGTCTCTGACCTCTCTAATGAAGCTGTGCTTGTTTGATTTGGGGGATACAGAGGGGAGAAGAGTGGGCTTTATGCTTTGGATGAGGCAGGGTAGGGGGTTTCTGGCCAGTCATTTTGTTGTGATGTATTTACTGTGCTACATTCCTTTATTTAACAGAGCGCTAATGTCTGTAAGATTTGCAACAATAAACTACAAAACAAAAATACCTCAGACAAGGCTGAGAATTTGCTCATACTGACCTAGAGGCTGACTTGCCAATGCTGAATGCATACATAATTAGGTGACTGAACTTCTTTTTTGCCATTTAGTCTGGAGTAATTCTGTTTGTGTTTCTGCAGTTGTGAAGTAATGCTGTTAGCTTTATTTTTAAAACAGCATTCTTTTCAGGCAATACATGACACTAGTGCTCCTCAACAAAACAGACTCCTATTCTAAGGTAGCATCCCAGTTTTTACTATGTGAAATGCCACTGTGGTTGTGACAGAAATACTGTTTCATTGATTGAATAACTTTAAATAGGAATTTTTCATAAACGGGGCTTTGATAAAAATTCTTCACACTTAAGAGTAATTTCTGAAATCACTGTTTTCCTTCAAATGTCATCAGCATGGTTTACTATTAAAGACCTAACACTATTTAAATAAATAAAAAGTAGAATTGTAGTATGTCTGTCCCTAGAACTAACTGTGGGACTGCCTGTGCTAAGGTTAAAAATATTTGTATGAGAGATTATGAAAAATATGATTATATTTGAAAGTCAACAAAAAAAAATCATCAAGGGAGTGTTTCCTCTGGTGAAGCTTCATAGGATTTTCTGTGCCTCAGAGTGTCATGAGTACTTTGAAACCACAGAAATGAAAATATATGCCACAGCTGATTCAGAAGAAAACTAAACATGGGCATTCAGTCATTTAGTGGCTGTTCATAACATGAAATACAAATACCATCAACATGAGAGAATGATGTATTTCATCTTATTTGCTTAAATGACAGAAGAAATTGGTAAGTCTCAAATAAAGGGTAGTAGGCAGTAGACAGGCTGAGCTTGCTTTCTGCATTTCCCTGTGTATCAACCCTCCGTCCTCCTATTCTTGCCATTAGCTGTACATACCAATGCCTGTGTTAGAAACTTTTCTGCATTTCAGTAGATAAACATAATCCCTTAGCTTAGCCGTACAGACAAAAATTTCACAGATCTGCTGTATTTAGAGGGGATATGTTTGTTGCCCTCTCCTTCAGTGTTTTAGCGGTTTGGCTCCACACAGAGGACAAGCAGACCCCACCCCACTTCCAGCATCTTATGGTGCCTTGCAGGCTGAAGAGATGAGGCTGGTGACCTGTGTGGACTGACAGTGTCAGTGTCAGGGCTGGAGCTGTAACTTAAATAAATGTTCAGTGCAGAAGCATGTGGAGCAATCCTGACCTACAACCATGGTATGTGAAGAGTTTGTGATCCACGTGCCTGTCACCTGAGTAGAGCCAGGCCTGTGCTGTGCTTTGTGCTGCTCCTACAGGTGGACCTCCAGCAATGTCCCTTGGCCACAGAATAAATTTAGATGGTTGATGATAAGAAGGGAGCCTGCAGGCAGCCCCAGTTTGAGTAATGGTATTTACCATTTACACAGAATGATAAATACCACCTAGCATACCTGTGTGTCCCTGCCTTTGGAAGTGCAGCAGTAAGGTCCCATGTGAACAGCCCTTTTGTTTGATAGTAGAAGTGATGAACATAATTGTTTTCTAAGAAAATTTTTAATTACTTCAGATTACCTAAATGGAGTCAAATGGATGGGATGTGCATAACTTGTGCCCTGCTTCATGCTGCATAGTGTGGTGATCCTAGCACCTGAAGGAATATAAAATTATATTATCTTTTTTGTTCATAGCACCTGCTGTAATAAACAGCATTTAAAATTAAACTATAGAGAGTGCCTTTCTTCCCGGGAGAGTAACAAGCCCACACCACCTATTGAAAACACCTGTGCTTTTGGGTTTGGATGTTGTTCCATGATTAAGACAAAAATATCGTTCTGCCATTAAGTGAGAGGTTCAGTGAGCCAAACGACTGCTTCTTCAAGACAGTTATTATTTTTAGTACAATGTGCACATCAACACCCTTCTTTTATAAAGAGTAATTTAAGAATTCTGTACACCATTTTTTTACTTTGTATCTGAAGGTCTCCATTTTACTATAGGAGATTTTAATTTAAACCAAATTACCAAAAATTTGCCAAGTTCTTCAATACTGCTTTTGACAGCTCCTTCCACAAGGATAATGTATCATCATACCCCACAACTACCTGTTACCAAACTTCACAGAGATGCAGGGCAATAATGTATCACAAACAGATGAGCTACAGCTGAGAGCCCAATAAAGCTTTCAATCTGCTTAATACTCTCTGTAGAATGATTTCCCCTTCAGAGTCTGCATAAGAATATTAAAAAAAGGAGGTGATTATTGACAAACCCATCCACCCACTTGCCAGAGATGATTTTCTTCTACAGTATGTATATGTCTGACAGAAATGCTCTGCTGAGGAATAACCAAAAAGCTAGCTCAAAGTACAGTTTCCCTGACAACACCAACAACACTGTGAGGCCGTTCATGTTCTGCTCTTTGGATTCTCCTCTCTGCTAGCTGTTCTCCCTCTGTGGTGAAAGTGCTCAGGTCACCACAGCTCTCCAGGTACAGCAATCCAGGATGCAATCTAAAAGGTAATGCACGGCCTCTCAATGACACGGCTTGCTGGGAAGGTGTCATCACCTTTAAAAAGAAAAGTTTAAATCAGTTTTGTTTTCAGCTCTTGTTCCATTAAAATAGTTTTTTACCCAACTAGGAAGAAGCTAGTTGTAGTGTTGACTGTTATGTGTAAAGAATAATTAAAAAAGCTATAAACCCCCTGGCATTTGCCAAGAAGGTATGGGAAAAGCAGTGGGGTAATTTTTTATTTTGTTATTGCTTGTTGGGTTTTTGTTAGGTTGGTTTGGTTTCCCTCTCGAAGGTGCACAGGAATTCTCTCACTCCAACCTATGTCATGTCATATGTTAGAAGGAACCTAAATGTTGCTTCCTTGCAGAAGCCACCGAACTGTAATAACCTTCAGGCCTGTGTGATATATTAAATTCTCATAAGGAGTCTTTTTCCCTCCTGTTTCTATCAAATTTGTCAAGGCTTTTTTTTGTTGCCTGAAGGCTGCAGTGGGAAATCCCACTTTATTTGCAGAGCCTAAATGACACTGATGCGTTTTGCATGAGAACACAAACCAAAACGAGTTGTCATAGCAAATCACTTGTGCTATGCATGAATCAATTCATCTACCCAAATGGTCTGTAAGCTACCAAAACATTTGTTTGATGAAGTCTGCAGTGTCTGAAACTTCTGGATATTCATTCCATTAATGTTAGCACTTATTTTCCATTTTCTGCTCTTCTTTCTTTAGTACTAGGTCTTATTTTTATCCTGGGAGCCAATCACAAAAAGTTGCTTCTAGTGGGTTGACATAAAAATTTGCTTGTCAGCCTCCATTCCTTCTGGTTTGCAATAGCAAGCACTTACTTATAACATCTTCTCCCTCTCCCCTGCCACACTCAGTATAAAATGCTGTCATGTTATTTACACTTCATGATTCCTCAACAGAAGATTGACTCAGTTTTTAAATACACACATACTCTGGCTTCTGGCTGATAGAGCAAGAAATGTCATAGCCTCTCACACATTCCCTAAATGAAAGTGCTGAATGAAGCCAGTTTGGTCCAAAAACTCAGACTGGCAAATGTAAACTTTTACTTCCAAACCAGGGGCAGTGGCTTTCCACATCACCTGATACATACAAGTAATAAAACTACCTGCTCAAGGAAAGTTGCACTGCTGACAGCTTCTGCCATATGTTTCTCATCTGATTTTAAAACAGACTTGATATTTTCCACTAAGTCATGTATATCTGGGCTCATGCTGCAGGAGGACTGCTCCAGGATCCATGCCACACGCCGTTTAGTGTCCATATAAGACTTATAGTCTATGAGAGAGTGGGGTCTTCCCCTCGCAGCTGTTGCTCTTGAACTCTTCCGCAGGGTGACAGCGTTCAGAGGATTTATGTCACTGGGTGTTGCAGTTTCACAGCTGAGCACTGTCTCTGAAGACAAAGATGAAACAAAGTAAACAATCCATATAGTTCATGATATTCCCGGAGATTCCTCTCCTGATGCAATGAGGATGCAGTGTATAGTTTAACCGTGTAAAACTTAACAGCCTGGCATGGTCAGAGTGGTATGGAAGGCTCACTCTACTGGGTTTACACAAAATGCCTGTAAAATAATCATATATAGCTCTGATTAAGTGCATATTATATATCAGAGGGTCTGGAGGGACTCTTCCCCTTTGGAAAGCTCTTTGTCATTTTGTGTACATCGGTTCCTTTCTCTTGTTTCAGATCTGAAGAGACCTGAAATGTGTGTTGAGCATTAATGTAAACATAAAGGTAGAAGAAGGCTTTTATGATCTCTCCTAACTCTTGATAACTTTTAGTTACTAGCAGTCAGCAGGACAAGTTGTACCTGAAAATAACTACCTTTCAAGCTGGAAGCTAGTAATACTACAAAGTAGAAATCCAATGGAAAAAAACCCAAAAACCTACAGCAAAACGTTCAGAATTACCTTGCAGTTACAAAAGGCAATACAGAATCAATTTCACGGCCTTTGATGTAAACAAGTTACCAAACTTCAGCATCATTAAAAGGAAGAAAAAAAACAACAAAACCACCCCAAAACCATACCTACAGATTATTCAAGAAGCACTTTCATGATGGCTTCAGACAAAAAAAGGCCAGGAGGAGATGCAAAACTTCCCAACAAGAAAAGCACTAACTTGAAGCAAATTCCATTGCTGCAGTGAGTTCCTTTTCTGTAGCACTTGTGACTAACTCAGATCTAACTGCTGAACAGACCCAACCTCAGTGACACTGAGCCTAAATCTTCCAAAGACCTCTGACATGGGGTCTCTGTACAGCAGAAACACCCTGCTTTCACAGCTGTGAATAGGCTCTGTGTAATACTGCTTCAGCAGCAGATTCTCTGGGCTGCTATGGTCGAAGTTGATAGAGGCCAAGTCAAAGCACATGATACAGCAGAGCCATGAAAACATTCCACAAAAAACAGCAAGTGAAATCCAGTTAGGCATGCTCCCAATATCCAGAATAAACAGCTGTTATTAGCATGCCCCATTGGCACTTACATTTTGACTGCTGGTATGTATCAGCAGCTACTGTGGGGATTTCAATATCCTCTAGTAAAAACTGCAAGACCTCTGGTATGTTTTTCGAGATTGTCAGCAGTATCACAGACTGTATAGTCACATTACCAGTTTTCCCACAGCAACAGAATTAGGTCACTGATACCAAAGCAGTTTCATTGACTCTCCACCATGGGTTGTGTTGAGTTTTTGGGTTTTTTTTGTGCTGATTGGAGGATTGAGAAAAGGGGAGTGAATTTATAGATTAATACCAAATTCCCAAGCCAGTTTTTCTTTAAACTGCTCACATTGACAACTGCACTAGTAAGATTTTAGATGTTAGTGCACTGAGGAGTCCTGTGTGCTCTCCATCCTCATTTTCCACCACCCCTCCCTCATACCCAGACCCTGTTCTTACAATGT